CTGGGATGATTTAGTTGGGGATTGGTCCTGCTTTGAGCAGGGGGTTGGACTAGATGATCTCCTGAGGTCTCTTCCAACCCTGATATTCTATGATTAAGATTGAAAAAATTGGGCTTGTTTAGTTTGGAGAAGAGAAGACGGAGTCCTGGTCTACACTATGAGTTTAGGTCAAATTTAGCAGCGTTAGATCGATTTAACCCTGCGCCCGTCCACACGACGAAGCCACTTTTGTCAACTTAAAAGGCTCTTAAAATAGATTTCTGTACTCCTCCCCGACGAGGGGATTAGCACTGAAATCGACCTTGCTGGGTTGAATTTGGGGTAGTGTGGACGCAAATCGACTTTATTGGCCTCCGGGAGCTATCCCAGAGTGCGCCAATGTGACTGCTCTGGACAACGCTTTCAACTCAGATGCACTAGCCAGGTACACAGGAAAAGCCCCGGGAACTTTTGAATTTCATTTCCTGTTTGGCCAGCGTGGCAAGCTCATCAGCAGAGGTGACCATGCAGTCCCAGAATCGCAGAAGAGCTCCAGCATGGACCGAACGGCATGATGGACAGAGGCTATAACAGGGACCAGCAGCAGTGCCACGTGAAAATTAAAAAAATAAAATTAATGGAGATATCCTATCTCCTAGAACGGACCTTGAAAGGTCATTGAGTCCAGCCCCCCGCTTTCACTAGCAGGACCAAGTACTGATTTTGCCCCAGATACTTAAGTGGCTCCCTCAAGGATTGAACTCACAACCCTGGGTTTAGCAGGACAATGCTCAAACCACTGAGCTATCCCTCCCCCCTACCAAAAAACCAAAGAGGCAAATGGCAGCTCCGGGTCTGACCCCCAGACATGCCGCTTCTATGATGAGCTGCATGCATGGGGGTGTTAGTTGGGTTTGTGCTGCACATTAACCCGAAAACCACAGCCCCTCCTTTTAAATGGCCAACCCATTTTAAATGGCCAACTCAACAGGTGCTTGGTATGGGAAATGAGGGGGCTGCTGTTTGAAACCATTCCCACACGTTATGAAGGTTGAAGAAGCCAAAAGACTGTGGCTTACCATGGCTGCCTGCAAGCCGAATTCCGTTGCCCGGCCCTGCGTGTGTGATCTCTCACACCAAACCGGCAGGCCCTCAATAGAAGAGGCAAAATGCAACCTTGTACCGAAAGCACATGTGCTATATAATGTTAACAGCTTGGTTCACCGTGAAAGAGTCTACCCATTGTTCTCTAAAATGTGTCTTTTCAAATACTACTCTCCCTTTTTTTCCTCCCGCAGCTGCAAATGTTTCAACGCTCCCCCTATCATCTCCGTCCCAGAGGCTGGCGCAGATAAGAAGGCGAAAAAAAACGCACTCACGATGAAAATGATCTCTGAGCTCATGCAGTCCTCCCACACTGAAAGAGCTCAGCAGAATGCGTGGAGGCAAACAATGGCAGAGCAAGAAGAAAGGTGGCGGGAGCAAGAGGAGAGGTGGTGGCAGCGTGATGAGAGGAGGCAGAACGCAATGCTGAGGCTACTGGAGGATCAAACTGATATGCTCCGGCGTACGGTTGAGCTGCAGGAAAGGCAGCAGGAGCGCAGACCGCCACTGCAGCTCTTATGTAACCAACTGCCCTCCTCCCCAAGTTCCATGGCCTCCTCACCCACACGCCTAAGAACGGGGGGGGGGGGCTCCCCTCCGGCCATCCAACCACTCCACCCCAGCGGACTGCCCAAGCAACAGAAAGCTGGCATTCAATAAGTTTTGAAATACAGTGTGGCTTGTCCTTCCCTCCTCCCCTACCCCTCCCGGGCTACTTTGGCAGTTATCCCCCTATTTGTGTGACAACTTAATAAAGAATGCAAGATTCTGAAACAACAATGACTTTATTGCCTCTGCAAGCAGTGATCGAAGGGGGGAGGTCGGCTGGCTTACAGGGAAGTAGAGTGAACCAAGGGGGCGGGTTTTATCAAAGAGAAACAATCAGAACTCTCACACCCTACTCTGGCCAGTCACGAAGCTGGTTTTCAAAGCTTCTGTGATGCGCAGCGCACCCTGCTATGCTCTTCTAACCACCCTGGTGTCTGGCTGCGTGTAATCAGCGGCCAGGCGATTTGCCTCAACCTCCCACTCCGGCATAAATGTCTCCCCCTTACTTTCACAGATACTGTGGAGCACATAGCAAGCAGCAATAACAATGGGAATACTGGTTTCGCTGAGGTCTAACCGAGCTTTTAAACATCCAAATGCACATTCTACCACCATTCTGCACTTGCTCACCCTATAGTTGAACTGCTCCTTACTACTGTCCAGGGTGCCGGTGTATGGCTTCATAAGCCATGGCATTAAGGGGTAGCCTGGGTTCCCAAGGATAACTATAGGCATTTCAACATCCCCAATGGTTATTTTCTGGTCTGGGAAGTAAGTCCCTTCCTGCAGCTGTTCAAATAGACCAGAGTTCCTGAAGATGCGAGCGTCATGTACCTTTCCCGGCCATCCCACGTTGATGTTGGTGAAACGTCCCTTGTGATCCATCAGTGCTTGCAGCACCATTGAAAAGTACCCCTTGCGGTTTAGGTACTGGCTGCCAAGGTGGTCCGGTCCCAAGATAGGGATATGCGTTCCTTCCATCGCCCCACCACAGTTAGGTAATCCCATTGCAGCAAAGCCATCCACTATGACCTGCACATTTCCCAGAGTCACTAGCCTTGATAGCAGCAGCTCAGTGATTGCGTTGGCTACTTGGATCACAACAGCCCCCACAGTAGATTTGCCCACTCCAAATTGATTCCCGACTGACCGGTAGCTGTCTGGCGTTGCAAGCTTCCACAGGGCTATCGCCACTTGCTTCTGAACTGTGAGGGCTGCTCTCATCTTGGTATTCTTGCGCTTGAGGGCAGGGGAAAGCAAATCACAAAGTTCCATGAAAATGCCCTTACGCATGCAAAAGTTTCACAGCCACTGGGAATCATCCCAGACCTGCAACACTATGCGGTCCCACCAGTCTGTGCTTGTTTGCCGGGCCCAGAATTGGTATTCCATGGCATGAGCCTGCCCCATTGCCACCAGGATGTCCAAATTGCCGGGACCCGTACTTGGAGAGAAGTCTGTGTCCATGTCCTCATCACTCTCGTCACCGCCTCCTCGCCTGTTTTTGCAGGTTCTGGTTCTGCACTTACTGCAGGATAATGTGTGAGGTGTTTACAATGCTCATAACTGCCGCAGTGATCTGAGCGAGCTCCAGGCTTGCCGTGATATGGCGTCTGCAGGAGAGCAGAGTTGCAACGGAAGCGGTGGCTGACGATGGATGCCATGAGAATAGATATTTATAGAGAACAACGAGAGGACCTGTGAGGTGGATTCATGAGAGCAGGAGAGCAGAGTTGCAGCGGAAGCGTACCCGGAGCCCATGACAGACAACATGGAGAAATTCGCTATTGACACAATAGCAGCAGAGCAGAGATGCAGCGGAAGCGGTGGATGACGACGGTTAGCAGTCCTACTGCACCGTCTGCTGCCAGCAGCACCCAGTACACAACAGCGGCGGTGTCGGTGAGCTGAGCTGAGCGGGCTGCACGCTTGCCGTGGTATGGCGGCTGCGCAGAAAAAAGGCGTGAAACGATTGTCTGCCATTGCTTTCACGGAGGGAGGGGCAGCTGACGACATGTACCCAAAACCACCCGCGACAATGTTTTTGCCCCAGAATTCCAATGGGCGGCAGAGACTGCAGGAACTGTGGGATAGCTACCCACAGTGCAACACTCCGAAAGTCCACGCTAGCCACGGTACTGTGGACATACTCCGCCGACTTAATGCGCTTAGTGGGGACACACACAATTGAGTGTATAAAATCGCTTCCTAAAAAAATCAACTTCTATAAATTTGACCTAATTTCGTAGTGTAGACATACCCTGAGAAGGGACATGATAACAGTTTTCAAGTAGATAAAAAGGTTGTTACAAGAAAAAGGGAAGCGGCCAGCAGCAGGTCCGGCTCCTAGGCAGAGGCGTGCAAGCAGCTCCGCGCGGCTCTCGCCCACAGGCACTGCCACCCCCGCCCACCAGCTCCCATTGGCCAATGGGAATGCAGAGCCGGTGCTCAGGGCAGGGGAAGCGCATGGAGCCCCATGGCTCTCCCCCACCCCCAACCTAGGAGCCGGACCTGCTGCTGGCCGCTTCAAGGGCACAGCGCAGTGTCGGAACAGGTAGGGACTAGCCTGCTTTAGCTGCTCAGCACCCCCGACGGGACTTTTAACACCCCGGTCAGTAGAGCTGACCAAAGCCGCCGCAACCCAGTGCCTTCCATTCCGTGACCCAGTTCTGGGTCATGACCCACAGTTTGAAAAGCACTTGTCTAGATAATACTTAGTCCTACCGTGGGTGCAGGGGACTGGACTAGATGACCTCTCGAGGTCCCTTTCAGTCCTATGATTCTATGTCACTGTTACGGGCTGTCGAAGGCCATACCGTGATGACCTCTGATTAGACAGGTAAGGCATAGTACAATGATTTGGTTGTTCAGGGGTGAGACAGAGATAATGACCAGACACAGTATGCTTCATTTTCCAAACTTGCATTGTGATTACACTTCACAAATAAAATAATTATTTCTGACTCAGGGCTCTAACTGCCTGCAAAATCTCCTGGCTGTTAAAAGTTACTTGCAGCAGGTCATGAGAAATTAGATTAGCGGTCAGAAGTTTAAGCCTAAATTGCCTAAGGGCTGACATCAGTCCGCATTTCTATCAAGCCCAGCATTACAGTTTAGTGTTTAACCCCCCAACAAATATATAACCAGTGGGGATTGAATCCAGGACCATCAGCACTAATAGTACTACAGTAGAACTAGAGGAGTAACCATTATCTGGTAGCAATAGTATGTTCTTGTACTCTCATATGGATCTGCAACTAAAAGGAGACAGGAAACACTGACCCAGAGGCATAGGAATGTTGATTCATGCCGGTGGGAACTCCCTCACCATCACCCCAAAAATAGGATTCATAAAGTAAATTGCATCTGCCCATCAACACAGCAGCATGAATTAAAAGTAGTTTGAAAGCACATCTTCTATGGAAAGCACTGTCACAAGAAATACACCTTTGGTTACCTGTTGTTTATGCCACTATTGAACGTGCCCCAAACGAACGTAGAATTTGATTGCTCCTGGATCTCTGCCAAAGGAAACAGACATCACTGTGGCTCAGTACTGAGTAACTTCTGCAAGCGTCATAGCAACATAAAATGAGAAATATGGCAGAGACGCTGCTAGGTTTACAAAACGGAATGAGAATTGAGCTAAGGCTTGGCGTAAGTGACAGCAAAGCAAACATTTCATTGAGAAATACAAAGGGTAAAGGTTATCATCAATTTCCACTTTCATCAAAGCACAGATGGTGCGACAGACTACATGGAAAACAACAGATGTTTTGTAGAGAATAGCAGGCATGTGGTAGAGCCTGTGAAGCAGGAGAACTTAATTTGTTCAGGGACAGTATAATTGGGTGTCCCAACACATGATCTGTGCAGAAGGATCTCTGGGACCTCTCTCTTAGTCCATGTCACTTCTTTGGGGGCAAGAAGAAGGGAATAGCAGGGGCTGACAGCCACCCTATGTCAACCTGCTTCCTCACCTTTATCCCAGTCTTCGTCACATGGGGGCGGCTGCCACATGCTGACAGTGTTCATTTTCTCTCTGTAGCAGTTATTCGACTGACTCACTTAAAGCAAAGAAGATTCTTAGTGAGAAAATCTTTTTGGATAAAATACAATCCTATTTTAGGGACATTAATCATGTTTTGACCTAGCTGCAGAATAGCTCTAGGCTTTGGAGAGGAGCAGCACACACTGGAAGCTGATCAGTACTCCCCTAGTCTTAGGAGCAAAACTCTTTAGGCCAGGGATGGGCACCTTGAAGGTAGCAAAGGGACAGAAAATCCACGAGAACCCTTTGGTGGCCCATACCTTAAGAGGCTATATATTGCCTAACTCTGAAAGGTTTGCTACAACACAGAATGTTTGGCAGGCCAAATCAAATGATCTGGCAGGGTGGTTGCAGTCCCCCATTTGCCAATCCCTGTTTTAAGCCTTTTCTAAAGCTAAACAATTCTGCACACATTTTTCAGCAATGCTGCAGCTGCTTCAACATACGCATTGGGAGAGGGTTCAGGTGTGTTTCTATTGTCATGTCACAAAAATCTGCTCAGGGTTTTTTCACTACTATCGTGCTCTAAGCCCCATCTACATTAACATGCACATCATTGCTAGCTTCAGTACAACTCTACTTTTGCCAGAGAACAGGTACGTTTTCCAGTGTAGTGATAGCCACATAGACATCAGTGGGGAGAGAAATTGGAACACAACCCACATAACCAAGTGATTTAGGTGCTGGGGTGACAGACCTGGACAGTCAACTCCTCGTCAGAGCCGACAGCATGGGCAGTGGTAGGAAAGCTGCCCCATAATCTCCTCCCCAACTTGCCCCACTCTGAACTGGAGGAACCCACCTTCAATTGGGAAAGTTATTCAGCCTCCCTGGCCCAGTCATGGCTTTTCTGCTAAGATAGTCAAGTAGGATGTAACAGAAGTGAGGATTGTTATGATCTAGACACTTGTCCATTAAGAACTGGACTGAGACCAATTTATTTCACACATGCCACTAGACAGGCTATACAGATTTTTGGTCACTATCAGGTCAGATCTGCATTGGAGACCCACCTCTCTCATGGCCACTATCTTTCCGCTCTAAGCGGTCCAGATTGCTAACTAGATCTCATTTCAACACACACAGTTTATGGCACAATGTACAGTTCCCATTTTAATGCTAAAATCTCTGGCAGATAACACAAGTAATGCAAGCCAGTTGCCTCTCAGATGCTTAGGAGAATTTGCATGGACACAGAATGAATGAAACTCAAGTCTCCAAGGGCTCCTGCTGTTTCTGTATCACATAGCACTACAGGTAAAGGGTTGCTTATGGAATAATAGAGTATCAAAACAATCTTTAACAGCCAAAATTAAGTTAGAACACTGTTAGCCCAAGAGTTCCAGAAGTGACTTTACAGAGCCAAAGGAATCTAATATTTTCTCACCAATGTCTTGCTCAATGCAGCTTTTGTCATCACAGCTTGATATATGATGGCCGATCTCATCTCTGGGAACCAGATGGCGGGCATTAAAGGGGCGTGTGGCTAGCTGCTTTGCAATATCAGGGTGGTTCTAGAGAAACAGAAAAAGTACGTGCTATCTCACTGAATTCATCCTAACCCTTGTGTTTTCTAGTCACTAGTAAAGGGTTTGTGCAATCTGCATCCTGAAATAGGTTGAAAAAATGTAAACAAGGAAAGCCAAAACTCAGCTCAGGTCCTGAGCACAAATGCAGTCTAGAAACAGCAAAGCATATGCATCCTTTAAGATACAGGCTATGTTTGTTCATTTTTACATTTAAACCACACCCTGAATTTATCTGATTGAAGATCAGCCCCAGAACAAACACAGTGAAACTGGTGCAGTGTCATCACTGGCATGGTTCGATGCACAGATGAAATTGCCCTAAAAAGCTACACGGGGAGTAAGTGCCTTGAAACCCTAAATAATTCAGCCACTTTATGTTTAAATTAAGTGAGCGACAGACTAGAGAACAAGTTCCTGCCTGCGCTAGAGCTTAAGTCTTTGCCGTTAATTTAACCCTCCTGAAACAGGAGGGAAGTTACTCGATGTTCCAGCTGAGGCCACATCTATATTGGGAGCACTTTGCCAGTAGAGGTAAAGAAGAGCACTACTATCCCCCACTGAAAGAAGAAACTTTACCCTTAGAAAAGAGCAAGACGACAGAGAAGAAGAACACACACTGCTCAGGCCTGCTCTGCATGGCTTTTATATTACTATAGCTATGTTGGCTAGGGGTGTGATTCCTAACCAATACAGTTATACCAGTACATCATCTTAACAGGTGGATGCAGTTATACCAGTACAACTAATAGACACTAGCACTGGAGGATACTGCCTGAGAGGACAAAAGAAAGGAGCAGCTTCTCCTGGTAAATATATAGCATTCTAGCCCAGGATAGAAGACTGAGAAGAGAGAAAGTTTCAGACAGACGTACACTGAATAGAGTTATTAGCAATATAAAAAAAGATGTCTTAGCAGCTGCACTGCTCTTGATTGCAAAGTCAAGAATTAGCTGCAACATCAGATCATTTCGGCTTTGGCCAGTCAGAAGGCATCCATACAACGCTGTGTGCATTTGCTCCATGGCCTGAAGTGGGAAGTAAATACCCTGTCCCATGAGTGAACAGTTGGAAGAGAATAGGATCCCGTCACTGACCTAGGTATTCTGAAGAACCTGTATCACCTTTCTTCGGGGTAAATGCACTGATCTGAAGTGCATTACTAAATAAAAGCATCCAGTTCATATTAAGTGGTAAATGGATGACAGAGATATAAAGACAGCTTCTTCCAGCCTAATAGCAAGTGAATGCATCCTCTAGCAAAAGGCAACACAGCATACTGAGCTCACCATGCATTAGCATTTACAAAAATATGATTTACCCAAGTGCATTAGAGACCTTGACATCCTGTCCTACCTTCCTGCACTTTATAAGATGATAGGGAAACCGACAGGCCCTGATTTGATGAGATTTATCATATGGACATTGTATTAACTTCTCTGGATCCAAAGCATCAACTGGAAGAGAAGGAATAAAAAGACAAGAAAACATTCTGTAAAACAAGATCTAAGAACATCAACAACACAATTAACAAGTGTGGAAACATTAGGGTTACCATATTTCAGCAAGCAAAAAAGAGGACGGGAGGAGCCCCGCCCCGTCCTGCCCTAGCCCCGCCCCTGCCCCTCCCACTTCCCGCCCCCCTCAGAACCCCCAACCCTCCCCCCCCCGCTCCTTGTCCCCTGACTGCCCCCTCCTGG